ATTTGAAATACAATTTAGTTTCTGATGTCATTCTTCATATCGATGGTTATGGGTGAAGTGGCTCTATTCCTAACTTTATCATCCACTTTTGTGGTTTTAGATCTTTCTACCCATGTTTGGGCATCGCGCTTTGTCGTTTTACAACTGATGTACCAGCAGTCGCCGTCAAAATTGAGCAATCGTATATTTTAATGATATTCGACTGATAGAAACAAAGACATTAGTGGATATTATTACAGATATGTTGTATCTGATGATGGACAATATCACATCCAGCTCCGTTAATGAGGCCCGGAACGCTAAGTGTTAGGCTGTAAAAATATGATGAAATTCAGGGTATTGAACGAGTTTGATCATTGTCTGTATATTGCGATTTGTAACGCAGATATTTTTTCCAACACCATAAAATAAATGAATGTAACGTAGGGCTCTGTACTTTACCATAAATCAAACTCGGAATAGCACCGAACAATCGTATCTCCCTGTTCACAATGCACAATCTATTTCATCGTTAAAAATAATCCCGAGTCTCTAATCCACAAAGAAGGAGACTATAAGCAATATGCAAATTATATATCGCATGAAATAAACCCCAACGTTACAAATTTAGTATTGCTTGCCCTTGTGCGATGAATAGCACAAGGTAAACTTTATAGTCACCACCACCATCTCTGATTAAGCATGATAAGCTACAACTTCAAATGTGGAACCTGGAGCGATGAACCATACAAGATGTTAGTGCGGTATACTCAATATTATGTGCGAAGCTGCTTACTATCGAGTTGAAGTAGATTGTTTAATTACGTCAGGGATAATCCATTTAGGTGCCTTTGATGAACTCACAAATCTCCCCCCCCCCCGGGAGTTGTTTCGGTTAATCACAAAAACTCTTTATAATAAGCCAAGTATTTTGGTATCATCACGAACACGAGATGATCTGCAACGAGTAAATGACTGTGGAACACAATGCTTTTCATCGTTCGCATGTGGTGAATAAGATAATCTGTGTGAGAATACTTTGCGCCGTAGATGACGTAGGAGCTATCATTTGTCGCTTTTCATAGCCCACCTGAGGTTTAAAAACAGGAAAGCATAAACAAATAAAGCGCACGGATTCAAACCCCCTGTAACCAGATGCATTTCTACCTCTTGTGTTTTACAATTTATTAGGATTGAAGACCTGAGATTCAATTTATGCAATTTTTGCCATTGGTATAAAACGGTATCATTAAACATTTGTATCATTTGAGCACGGTTATAAGAGACAAATTCCAAGGAAATTTTGATGGATGTACGAACTCCATCGTAAGAGTTGAACCAATATGAATCCGATATGGCAGTTTAGCGGGTTAAACAGTGCCATTCTTCTTCTCTACTCTATAAGTTTTCCAAGTTCCATTAGTTTGTCGAGGACGTTTGCTTCCTTTATTATTTTATCACATGCAGGTAATAAGAGCGTTATAATTTAAGCTTTGTAATTTGTTTATCTGAACTAACTATTCTTCGTACTTCATCTTCACACAAAAAATCCTCAGTTCTTCCAGTAAACCATGCACTAGGAAGCAACAGAATCGAACTTAGAGAGCTCATCGGTAGTGTATATCCACCGTCCGGTCCGCGCTTCAAACTCCAGACAGATCACATGAAGTGTGTGGGTGTGTATAATCATTGTCAACCTGCTCATGCCAAAGCTGAACTGAATTAGTTATCCGGTGTTACGCAAGAGTGATACATCTATACGAAACCATATTCCTAGAGTATTCTTGCCTCAGTGTAATCGGATTAGTGATTGCCAGGGAAATTGCGCGAAGTCTAGTTTCTTATGGAACCAACATCGTTTATCCAATCTGGCCACTTGTCATTATTATTGATACAATTATTATTATTATTATTTCGACAGGTTGTGCAACTACAAGTTGAAGATAGTCCGGTTCGAGGAAACTGGCTTCTTCCAGAGAGCGAACTTACACGCACAGCCTCCGCTAACAATAAAGGAGACTTCTCCGAGGCACATACGATTCTGATTGTGATTGTGCTGTCCGGAATTTCAGCATTTCTGGCGGCTGTACTCATCAGTGCAATACTGTGCATGATCAAGCCTTGTCGTGGAGGATCACGGGCGCGTGACTCGGTACGGTTTACCAAAGGCACAGGCGGAAATCGTGCGGGAAAGTATGGTCAGGATACAACTGGAGATGGAAAAGGTCCCGGAACCTATACCGATTATAATTTAAGTATTCTGGATATGAACGGGTACGCCGGGGGTATAGATCCAGCAACGCAATCACGTGTATCTCATCTGACTGCAGCTCAGATTCCTGGATTGGAACAACTATACTTACCATCTGACAAGTTAATTGGCGTGGATTCCAGTTTTCAGACATGTAGTAGTATCATAGAAGATGCAAGCTGGCCCGGACGGAGTAACGTGACCACACTGCTGGGTTCTCAGCCAGTTGATCGACTATCACCACCGGTGCCGTTGTGCGAATACACAATCACTCAACCAATGGATAACAACTGGATTACCACTACGGTAAGCTGCCTGGAAATAAAGGTGGCCACTTGAAATTCACTTTGGTTAACCTTTTTGATGTGACAAAGGTGAATGAGTCAGCAGATCTAACAAAAATTCCCTATGATCATGAAGAGCTCCATGGGCGAAACACAAAAGCATTTGTCACATCAGGTAAAATTGTACGTTAGTCACTCGGCGACCGCATGATTGTTCATATCCCCCGTAGTTTGTTGATGATTAAGTTTTACAGAACGACTTGTCTGTTTTTTTCTGCTACCTGTTCCACGCTGTAAGGTTTTGGGGGTTAAACACAAAATTCTGAACAGCTTCACTAAAACGATATATGGTAAAATAAACTGACTACTGCCGTAATATTGGAATAGCATCTCGCGAGCCGTAACGTAAGTTTACGAGGGTACAATAGAGGAGAGACTGATATGCTGTATTATAACTTTTATAAATATGTCAACGCCCCCTTTGTCTGCATCTGAGTGTCGAAATTCGGGAATAAACATTATAGAGTATTTAGTTGCTTAAAAAATGGGGCATCCAATATTCGTTCAGTGAATCCGCACACTACCCCCATAGAGTGGTTGGCAAACAATTGGACTGCCAGTTGCATCAGCTGTGAAAAAAACGCTTATTTATCCATGCCCATTTCCTCAAGCATGTTTTAAATGTTTGACATCCGTTTGCAAAATCGCTGAGACGTTTGGCCTTAGTGACGAAATGATCTTTTCGTTTATCTTTCTCTCACACTGTCAATGCGTATTTCATCCCTTACATGGATTCCTTCGTTTCGCGAGCCCCGCCGTCAAACCCTCCATTTATCCATAGAATCATCTATCCATCGCTGCGAGCAATCAACCAACTAACCAATCATTCATGTATCCGTTCCCGTGACTATTTTTTAATCAATCTGTCTATCTAACAGCTGCACTCTGTGGATAAACTTGAACCATAACGGTTGGCCGAAACCAGTCCTACAAAGCAGCTGATGGTTACTTATACTGGCATATTGATTCAAGAGTTATGCTGAGACTTTTCTTCCCCAAAGCTGACTTCTACTACTACTATTGATACTACTAATAATATTACTACAATACAGGAATGTAAAACTGTTATATTCAGTTTCTGCCCCCATCTGTTAAGGGAATACCCATGTTACATCGATATTATGGTAGCTGGTGGGAATCATCAATTGTTCATATTCATCCTCTGGAAATTGTAACTTTAATCGAAATATCAGTGAAATTATGAGAGTGATTGTTCATTGTGTGAGAAAAGCACATTTTTAAAAGCAGGGGCGCGCACCAGAGACAGAAAGGGAGACCTGAAAACCACATATTCAGATGGATAGATCTACCAAGACAGATGAGTTTTGAGCATGCTGACCGGACAAGTGACTTCGTTCTAGGGCAGCGATTTCCAGTTTTGACCACTTAACAGAGGTATTCATTCAGTCAAGTGAATGATGCATCTTTGAGAGGTATATTATTTTGCACCGCGGATGCTGCCTTATAGCAAAAACGGTTGCGGTATTCGTCACTGATCAATGTGGATAAATATTTTCACCCGTTTTCTCTAATCCACAAACTGTATTCAGGCGAGTTATGTTTTAGGAGCTGATTGTTATATTAGTTGTTAGTATACGTTGTAGATGACTACCAATGTTTGTGAAAATCTGTTGTTCTCTCCTTTGGAGATAGATAAGAGCAGTGTTATCTAAAAATTAAACTACCAGAACTGCCCGAAGCACTATATCGGACAAACTGGAAGAAAACTATCAACCGGCAGTCAGGAGGCATGACCCACTATCGTTGATTTCCCTCTACGAAAATTCAGAAAGACAGCAGTTTGAATTCGAATCATTGAACGTTATTGACCACACACGGTCAAAGCATCTCAGAGAATTTCTCGAAGCTTGGCACCCTTCAATCAAACCCACAAACAGGCATATTGAACTGGATCACCTGTACAGGCCAGTGCAACTCAAGAACCAAATAAAAACAACACGCCATGATCTGAGAACGGATCGAAATTGCAATCAGGATGGAAGGATAATCCACTCACCCCCTCGCATCAGTTTACCGACTAACCCAATCGGACAGGGTGAGAATGAGGGACAAAAATTGTCAGTGGAGAAGAACACATAATGAAACGAACGGGTCTAAGCAGAACACTGCCACTTCACAATCACTGACGATGTTAACTCAGCTGGTGATGAAATGTTTGCAAAGAACTTACCAATCTCGGTGAACAAGTGACATGAAATTCAGTTCACCTGAGCTGCGAGCATCGATTTTCAGTACTTTGTCAATGGATATTTTGAAGTAGGACGGAAGCAGAGCGCTGGACAGGTGCCCCGTCCGTGTTGGAACTCATATTTGATATGTTGTACTTGTCCCTGCCGACTCTATAAGTGCTAAGTTTCAGGTTGAAAATCGGAACTCTTCCCGCTGAGCTACACGGACGATGGCCATGGCACAGAAACTGCATCGCGAACGAGCTGCATCAGTTCGTGGGAATTAGTGAACTCCCGAGCAGTGGGAAACAGTGAAACACAAAATAAGATTCCTAGCATCTATGAATTTTCACGGATGATACACTAAACGGTTTACATTAGGGAGCTTTGCACTCATTTTATTGAGTACCGATCAACAATTTCCACTTCCAACCCTAGGGTTCACGGTACGAGTCGTGAATAGATTACACACCATTGATGGGTGCCGACAAGGACAAAACTGAACCTTCCTGATCCTCATTCAAAGGGAAACAAATGAAAATATATTTAAATCAACAAAACTTTCTCCAACAATGCGATAGTATCTCTAAGGTTACAATGTTCCCTTAGACGCGATATTTATTGGGCAGTAACATTAGTAAAATAATTCAGCGAATGTTTCTTCTTCTCCAAAAGCTGGAAGCTTTCGAATTGTCTGAAACGACTCCCTGCTTGGTTAACTAAGGACCGTTTGAACAAAATGCAGCAAATTACGATGGATCACCAGCTGTCTTCTTCTCCCATGTACTCCCATGCACCCCAAAGTCGCACTGATTATGTTACCTAGCTTGGCCACGTAACGTTTGCAAGCAACACTTCCGGCTCGGAGAATGCATCAACACCAACATTTTTTCACTGTTTCGTACTTGTCGAGGTGATTTTTCAGCCTGTTCCTCATTTGCTGTATTTAAGAACACCGCCAATCTCTCATTATTACCGCATTTCTGGTCTGTCTGATTCCAACAATTACTTTGACATCTTATCTGAAACAAAGCGTTTCTCAACTCAACTGTGTTCAAAGTTAAGCGCCTCTGAACGTCTGGAATGTGGTTTCAGTCTTCGTTGATCTCTGTCTTCAATTGATCTTTTAGTTTTCTATCCGGTATTAGATCTCCTTAGCATATAAACCTCAATTCACATAAGACTGTACAATGAATGTCTTACTTTCAGCACTGTGTGGGAAAACTTAGAAATGTGTCCTTGCAACCAAGGCCAATCCACCAGTTTTGGACTCCCAATCGGCTGTTCACAAACATACGCACACACACTCGTCTTTCGATAAGTTATTCCTACAGCACTCCACTGTGCCCTCCTTGCCTTCTCAAACAGGACCTTAAGACTTTAAGAGGCGACTCAGTATTTAATAGTCCTGTTTCGTATTTCCTCGTTGTTGTTCAAAACACAGATTTTTGTTTATCTTTGGGACTCAAGTTAGCACAAAAATTCACAGATTAATGACACAATCAACTATCTGATTATCCTACTTTTTAATCCACCGGCTCAGATTTCGGGATCAAACTGCTAGAAAAAAATTGTCCATCAACCCCCCTTGTACCCCATCTTGCTCGAGACTAAAACCAGAACTACTTACCAAATTTGAAAATTACCTTGAACCCGTATCCAAGTTTATCTTCTATCATACTAACACAAATATTTCCGTACATTTCTTCTGTATTTCCAAAGTAAATGTGACCGAAATTAAAGCACAAATACTTGGAAAATCTACTCAGACAATTACCAACACAAAAACTCGAAATTCCTGTGTTTTGATACCAAAATGATCATATAAATCCCTATATTGCTTCAAATATTTTTAATTGTACCTCTTAAAGGCGGATTTTACGATTATTTGTTCAACAGAGGGAAACCCAGTTTGTCATCATTTATTTTATTATAATGAACTTTTCCCATTTTTTGCTTGAAATTCCTATCCATTTTTTGGATGTATGTTGATATCCAAGTTGAACTGGGCTGAGTATTTTGCAATCATCACATCTGTTTCCGTGACAGCAAACCCAGGCCACTATATGGACACCAGCATCCATCGGGACCACCACTCCAGCCGGCTTCAACACTCACTGTACCGACTGTCATGACGCTATCATTGAGCCCACATCTCCTTTTCGGTCGACCTATCCGGTTGACACTGCGAACGAGGCAAAGGCCAATGTGAATGTGATCGCTCCCTGCCGATTCCTTCCCCCGCTATTGCCGGATCGAGGAGCACGGGATTGTGCGGAATACGACGGTTCCGAATTGAGCTCGGTACACACGCGAACTGGCAACCCTAATCGTATTGTGACACTGGGTATTGGGGCTAATCGGGACCCAATACCCGATTTGGCTAATGGCTGTGATCATAGAGCACCAATGGGTGAAGAACAACGCTCAGACAGCGGTCGAGGAGCTAGTGATGAGGAAATCACGAATCAAACAATTCCCAGTAAAATGTTTACNATACGACCAAGTTTCGTTCAGCCACACTGAGGGGACCACAAGAGAATACCAGTCATATGATGTCAGGATTGGTATTCCCAAGTCTTCCACGTATAAGTTCTGGTAAGTGACATTCTGAAATACTGGAATAAAATGGAAAGTAATTTCCGCATAACAGGAACGCATTTAAAATTTTGGGGTCCACATACTCAGATGATTGTGATTGTAAACAAAAGTCATAGTATAGCCTTTGTGGAGTCAAAACCTCTATCTATCATGTAACGCATACAATGCTCGCTGAACGCAAACTCGAAAATGGTTTGCACGAGCAAAGCCGACTGAAAGCTTCCTGTCCATTTTATTCAGAGTTAAGTAAATCACATGTTTCGAGAGCGATACTGATCAATATTGCCGGGAGAGATCGGCAGAGACAGAAGTCCAAAAACGTAAACACGAGTTGGCCCTAAATGTTTCACAAATTGAATATTTGACTGGATATTTTTTCTAGGAATCCTCAAAGTTTGTAAGTTTCCTTTGTGAAAGAAATGAAGGGAAGCGAAGCAAACTCAGCAGTTATTGAAAAAAATTGTAAAAATAATTACACTGCCTTTAACTGAAACAGAGAATTATTGTTGATTAAAAGTGTTTCCATATCTACACTCAATCAATATCCTTGGGGATTAAGGACCTCAAGCGCCTCCGGAATGGACCAGTGTTATCTTTGTCAGTCACTATACAGCAATTCCTTTGAAATATATCAAAGGTTTTGCATGATAAGTGAAAAGTCATACCAACTCTCGCAATCCAAGCAGGAACCTTGATGAATAGAGTCCGGTAGGTCAAATAATTTAAGATTTAGTGATGATCTTGATGAAATCAAACAATCACGCGATTGTTTTCATCCACGAATTGCAAGGGGCAAAAGGAAACCAGGTTAGTTTTGCCATCCGCATATTTAAAACTCTCAGTTTAACTAACTTTTTCGTTTTTACGACGGAGCGAAGAGCTAAAGCCCGGTACTGCTCTCATGGGTATGCTACTGACAGATGAAGACAATTTACCTTAGATGGTCAACTAAAATTTTGCACTTGTTCTTATGTGTTGAACATTCAGTGGTCTGGTTCATTTTTTATTTAATGTGTCTCACGTAAGCTAGACTAGCCAATACAGGATAGAAGATTTCAAACATTATTCGGCATGAAATTGGATAAAAATACAGGGGGGAAACAGGATTTTCACGAGAAGATAATCCGCTTGTTCAATCTGGCTCACGTCTGACAAAGTTTCTTCGTTTAGTTGAACTTCATAGACCAAAGTGTTTTAAGTCTGTCGCTGAGCTTTTATTTCAAATCACCGAAATGTGGATTCCCCCACAGACCATGTTTGATTCCTCATTTTTGTATGTGTTGTGATGTTCAAATGTGTTAGTAAGAATGAAAGCACTATAACTAATTAAAACCTTTCAACTAATGGGAGTTTGATTATATAACACGAAATAGTTAGCCACGAAGACGATCAATATGGGTTATTCCCATGTTCCGGTGCCGCTGATGCTTTAGCTTATTTTCATCCAATAGTAGTGTGATTGTTCAGACCGAATATCCGGTTTCTCCGTTTGTGCATTCAAAACATAGTGCATATCTCGTCCGGACAACCGCTCTTTCACATTTGTTTGTTTATTTTGCAGTAAGTGGAGTTATCAGCACCCCGGTGAGTGGATTAACCACGTTTGATTCAACCCGAACCACTCGGAATTCGGTCGTATGTGATACCGCAGACAACGTGGAGACATCATCGACCAAAGTTGCCATGATCCGATTTCCGAAATCACACGTGGTTTAATCGAAGCACGTGAACCGACGCTTTCCCCAGCCCACTGACACTGATCCGTCGGTTCGCCTTGCTCGAAAGTTGGAATGCATTCATCCATCTGCACTAGACCGACCCTTCCACATACAGTCCCTGGGGATCGGGTATTCCACGATGCATTTACCAGTCTGTTTCAGATTGACTCGAGGCACAATAAATATCACCGTGTGCTGGTAGGTACATCATCCATTCTGCTGGGAATACTTGTCAGTCCCACTGAAACGATTGGTACAGGTTCTATCCACTCCCTTCAATTCCTTCATGGACTCACGCAGGTCAGGCGCACATCATGCTTGCCACCAGCTTCATAGTTTCTTTGTGTTTGTACGTATGTTTGTGAGCGTGATACATTCCAATCCGTTTGTCGTATCGCTTTCTCTGTAGGTGTGTGTGCGTGCGTGCGTGCGTGGGTGAGTGCATGACGCAATATGTCTCTCTCTCGTCAACGNCACAGTCGCAAACTATTAAATCTGTGTTTTTGTTATCCCCCTTGTGCAGCGCCATAATCCGTGTATATAGACGTCGAACTTGTTTCATAATGTGTTGTATGTATATTCAGTTCACATTTGCTTCGGATACGTGGAATGCCAATGCAGTGCCTGATTTATTGCACCCAATGTCCACTGGCGTACGTCCTGCCACCGCTCGCCCGCTCATCACCCCCATACGCCTCATCCTATCGAGGGCACACACACATACACATGCCTATTCCCAATGATGCATTCCAAAATCGATAACCGATTGATTTCTCCCGTTTATCATGGAGCTGTGTAGTCTGGTGAACATATTGAGTATTTGAACCAAATCCGTACAAATGATATCATTGTTTGATACACATAAATCTTTATGACTATGAACAAGTTACCGAACCCAACCAACCCCAGTCCTACCCACTTCGGGTTTCATTCTTTTGCCTCAAAATCGATCTCATAGAAAACAAAGAAAACAAACTGTGACTGAGGCGATATCTCCGTGCCAGGTGATGCACACAGCACATCCACTTTGCGAGCATGTGAACCAACGCTTGTACTGTGTTTGCGTGTGTTTGTGTGCATTACTATCATGATGCTGTGGATTTCTGTTGTCACGTACTGTAAATCTACTCAATCGCGTATGTTTTACGAAATTATTTGTGACTTGTACTGTACCAATGTGAGTTTGCTTTGTTCATTTTTCTCTCGCTCTCACTGATCTTCAGTTGTCCTTCATTGTGTTGCTCCCTTCAAACTTCACCTGCCCCGCCACCGACTCCTCCTCCTTCTCCTCCACGATTCTTGTCGGTGCATTACAACAAGGTAATAAAAATCTCTCGTTCAGTTCCAATATTGTTCGGGCAGTCGCCGATTCCCTGTTATTTTTATACTGTTTTTCGGCTTCTTTCGTCCACAAAATTAATAAATAACGAACTACAGGGTATCGGTAAAATTGTATCTGGATGGCTGATCAGCAATATGCGCTAATTTCAGGTTCACATGGTATGCAACCCTCGGTTCGAGGTTCGAAATCCCTATCCGTGATCAACAAACAGGAACTATTTTCTATGAATTCTTGTTGATTAAAGCGACAACATTTGTGACTCAAGTCAAATTGTTTAGCAGATTCAGGCTACTGAACCCTTCGCAATTCGAACGTAACATTTCAGTTTGCCACAAAACCTAAATTGAACAAGTAACTCCGCGGTGGAAACTCATTCTGAGGATCCCAATGGATTTTATGCAAAGCCTGTAGCGGCAGTCAGTTTACCTGGTGGATTCCGCGCACCTCTGAAAGTTGTGTGGGTGATCAAAATGTGAAGCGATCGAAACTACTGATGTCTCCTAGTAGATGAGCCGGTACAGCATGTGATGTACAAAAGCTTAAGCGTCCTCCATACGTGGGCTAGTGTCCCAAAGAAGCTAACGAACTGTACACAATTCAAACATAACATTTATGGTTAGGGCAACTTCTGGCCATATAAAGTGATATCCACATCTGAAGTGCATGTACCTTGCAATTAAACCATAAGCCACTCATTAGAGGCAATAATGTCTGAAAAATAGTATGAAGCATTTTGTAACCCAAACGATCAACTTATAACAAAAAAATCCACAAGAACTCCACAATCAATGTGCATCATTTATCCAAATTACTGAAGGTGATGCCTTAATTTGCCAATAGCTTCTGGACGAAAGTTCTCTTTTCACAGAAAATGGAACACAAATTTTCGCTTTTTGATTATTTGCTATCTGATTCTTCAGTTACTAGTCACCACAACAATAGTGAATCAAATAAAGTCAAGAGCAAACCTTATCCGTGCATTCTGGACAACCACGTCAACCCTGGCGTAGATAAAAAAGTATATATGATTAAGCACTATTATGTAAACTAGTGACAAGGAGGGGGACAAGTTATGAAATGGACAGTGAGGTTTTCAGCACAACTGCCAGAGGTTTTGCTTCAGTTCATCATCTAACCGTTTCCAGCAAATCAACACAAGAAAGATAGGACACGGCGCAGTAGTGAAAATCCCTGGTATAAGATAAAAACACATCAGTTTCTTCTGGCATATTGGAGCAAGAGTGTCGGGTGCAGAAGACGTGAATTGTCAGACAGACTTTAGTCGCACAGGTGATAACGAGTTGACATTAATCGATCGACAAATAAAGTTACTAACGCTACATATGAAACACTCGTATTTGGAAATGCTTCTTTGACGGAACCATATAGAAAGAAAATCTCTAAACTACAGGCGATGGAAGACAACGGTAAAACAATAAGCCCAGCGACACAAACAGCAAAGTTTACAATCCGGTACTTCCACGGTGTTGGACGCGATGGACAGGACTCCCCCGGTTGCATAATCGAGCACAAAACGATCTAATTTGTCACTATATGAAGTCATTGATTGAATGCTGAAACCAGAATTCTTTCATTATTAGAAATGAAGCACTGGTGATATCATTTCTAGCCAACTCCAGAATGTTCGGCATCGATAACGATTCGAACCCCCGTGGATTACTAAATCACCATTCCCTAACCTGATTTCACAAGAATACACGAGGCTTTCTAGCAAATTTCCCTAAGGTGCAGCTGCGCTTACAAACTGGTCAGTGGGATCTTGTTGCCATTACTGAAACGTGATTGACTGCCGATATATTTGCAGCAATCTTTTAAGTGAACCACTTTATCTCTCCGATGCTGAC